AAGAAATGTTTTGCGGAACGGAAGAATTATTTTTAATTTTTAGCATTTCTATTTAAAGAAAAACAATGGGCTCACTAGTTTGAAACCTGTCAGGTACATATTTTTCTGAGAATTTAAAAAAGGAAAAAAGAAAGAAATTGGAGGTAGCAAGGAGGGTATAAATTTCTGGGAATGGAATGATGGATGGGGTGGCAGTGGTCGTCTAAGAACTAATGATAGCTTTCATGTCTTTGTCTACACAAAAGATACAAAAGGTTGAGCACTTTAGTACTTACATGCTACATGTATATATATCCTCCATCTCCAAACAATAAAATAAAATTACTTCTCTCTTACATACTCTTTCTTTCAAAAAAAAATATCACACTACCTAAAAATAAGGTGAAATTTCAAAATTTAAAAAAAAATACGTTTTTTGAAGATTGGTAGGGAAATTGAAAACAAAACTTACATATTTAAATATTATGACAAGATTTTTACAAAAAAAAAAGTGAAAAAAATATTTAATTTTGTCAAATAATACATAATCAATTAAAACACACAAATATATAAAAAGTTTCTTGATTTTTAAATAGTGAAGAGCAACATTCTATTTTTTAGACAGAAGAAGTATAAAAAACTTCACACTTTGATTTTTACAAAATTTTCAAAATGTGTTGAACAAAAAAAATGGTTATATTAACAGAGAAAATTTCTTAGCTACAAATTTTGTACTTTAAAAGGAAAGTGTTTTTTAACCGCATGAAAAAGAATTCAAATGTTAAAGAGACTACAGAGTGTACTAGTTTAATCTTCAAATTTTATTCGCTTTGTTGGCTTATTTTTGTTGCCGATTTGATAAAATAATATAATCATGTCAGCTCTAGTTTTGTACTCTTTTGATGCAGTTTTAAATTTTGTAATTTTTATTTTTTAATTGTGCACCGTTTTTTATATAAAATCGTATGAAAATAGTTTCAGTCAAACATCGTAACACGCAATGAGAAATAAATTTGGAATGACTGAGTGAGTGTGTGTGTGTGTGTGTGTGTGTGTATATATATATATATATATATATATATGATCATATCATCAGATGACCATGCATGTTCTGTGATTATCTGGCGTTGCTTGAGAATCTTCATCTTTGCCTTACATACATACCTTAGCTTCCTTGCCAGTCTATATAGTGTTGTGTCTTTTTCATGGGTTGTATGATTGAATCACGTACACATACTGCTTATATTTGGTAATTGATGAGTTTTCACACCAAGATTCTTTTTTTTTGCTACCCATATCTTTTTTTTTTACTTTATTTCCCTCTTAAAAAAATGAATATGCCAGTCACAAAATTTTTATTTCTTTTAAACAAATTTCAACTCTAGGCTTTCATTCTTTTAGTTATCCTCAATTCATTTATGATTAATGTCAAATTTTACCCTTAATTAAGTTGATCCAGGTGTTGCATTTTCTTATTTTTCACACTTATAGGATAAATTTGTTCATTTTTTTAAAATAATAAAATGTGTGGATTGAAAGAATGACTTTGGGAACCCCCTAAATAAATATTCCAACCTTATGTGTAGGGTTCCGTTTGTGTTTAGATTGGTGGCTGATTTAGTAACAATTGCTTGCTTATTCGGAATCACATTTTAAAAAAATGAGATTAGTTTTTGTAGACTGGTGAAATGTAAGATGGTTTGAGATAATTTACCCTAGGTGAAAAATGATACTGTATTCTGTTTTGCATGTGAAGATATAAATATATAGCGTTACATATAACTCAAACGTCATGCATGTCTTGGACTCTTTGTGCCCATTAGACACTATTCTTAGTATTCTCAAAATGTTATCCACTCTCTCTATTGTATAAAACTTTTTTTGTTTTGACTTTTAAAAAATTTTAGAAAAGTGAATTTTAGTGTGGACCGACTTTTTAAAAACGATCTGAAATATGATGGATAAAAGATGTGATAAGTAAATTAATAATGAAAAAGTGTGATATAATGTTTAAGTTAGAAATTAATATAGATAAACGTGACATTTTAATAAAAATGAGAAGAGGTTTTTGAATTTGAGACGGATGAAAAAAAAAAGGAGAAGAGTTTTTTGTGGGATGGAGGGAGTAATAGGAAAGATCGAGTAACTATGCTTACCCTTAATATTTTAAAATTTAATTTACACTACTGAAAAGATATCCTAAATGCTACTCCGGTAATTGAAAACTTTGGTTTCGCTCCTCTAACCTCTAAAAATAACCTACGATTTACTCATTTTATTCACTTATTTTTGTTGCTTATTTGATAAAATAATTAATATTGCTAACCATGACACCTATAGTTTTATAAATATTTTGATTTAGTTTATACATGTAATTTAGTTGCTTGCTAAAAAAATAATGTTGCAGGAAGGACAGCTTTATAACCCACAGGGCATTCTGCGACGCTCTGGCTGAAGAGAGTGCCAGACTTTCTGCTAAGTCCATACTCCTCATGCAACGCACTACTCCTCCTCCACCACCACCACCTCCTCCTCGTAACCATAACAGTAACACTAACAGTAATACTCCCCACCTAATTTACCCCAACTTTCACCTCAACCCTCCGTCGTCCCTCTTCTCCGCCGCCCCGCCCCCGCCGCCTCACCGTCTTTTTTCCTCCCCGCCGCCGCCACCGGCACAAACAACCACCATCATGACAATGGGGGGCGGCGGCGTCCTGTGGGACCCGCCGCCCTCCCGGGTGGTTCATCATCTCCCTCACATGATCAAGTCCGAGAGTGGGCCGCCGTACTTCCTGGAACCGGCGTCGCCGTTCCTCTCCGCCACGGCGCTCCTGCAGAAGGCGGCGAGCGTCGGGGGCACCGCGGTGGGCCACGTCGAATGCAGCATGGCCCACCTGCACACGGCGGGGCCGGACGTGGACATGATGGAGAGGATGGCCGCGCACGAGGACTACATGAGCTTCGACACGTGGGAGAAGGGGGACCCGCTCACCCGAGACTTTCTCGGGTTGACCGGAAACGACGGCGGGGGGGATCATCACCATCACCACCGCGGTCTGCTGTCGTATGCCGCGGCGGGCGCCGCCGCGGGTGACGAGGTACTGTTCCCATGCGGCAGCAGCAGCAGCAATATGTATAATAATAACAGTGAGCGCCATGATACCCACCAATTAGGGTTTGGTTTTGCTGCAGCTCCTCCTGCTGAGACAACCTCCGGAACATGGGGAAGTTGTTGATGATCATATCCTATGCCCCGGAGTATATATTACTCCGCATTATAAATTAATTATATTAATTTATATGTAATTAATTAACCTTGGGGGTGACATGCATTTCCTGGGAATCTGCTACATTGGATCATCTGAAGGCTTATTGATTCTTAATTAATTGTTTAATTGCATGCAGTCTATTTCATTTTGTTTCATGATTACTTTTCAGTACTTTGGAACTGAAGTAAACAATAGCTAGCTAAGCTAAGTAATGATTAATGACCTTCCAATGACAAATAATAATAAGCACCTTAATTAATTAGCTTAGCTTATTAAATTGATGAATGAGTGGACTTGATTGCATTCGAACTAATATCGTAGATATACATATTTGGTCTAATAGTATTTTGGTCGTTTTTGTTGGAAAACCCGTTGGTAATTAACATTCATGTTTTAGATAGTTTTTTTAATGGTACTCCGTATATATATTAACATTGAAAAATACTAGAACTAAAAACTATTAGTAGTCGCTCTCTCTTAGATAAAACTCCTACTTACTATCCATAGATCAAATTAATTTTATTTTATTTATATATTTTCATCAATTATTTGATAAAATAAAAGAATGTTGTCACCACTTATTTTATAAAACTTTTGATGTAATTTGTTGATATATACGGAGTAGTTTTTAGTTTTTATCACATACCAAGTTTACTCATATTAATTTAAAAATAACTTTAATCAAACATCGTAAGTCAAACTGAAGCCTTATTTTGGGACTAGTGAATATTGAATAATACTTTCAAAACTCTAAAAATATCAAACGGAGCCTTTGTAGGTCCCTGAATTGAATTTGTTAATTGTGCAATTCAAATGAAGCATGCATCTAAAAGCATCTTTAGTGGCAAATTCTCTTAGAATTGTTTCACCTAAAAAAGGCAATGTAGAACTTATTTGATGTAGAACATCTGTTGCTTCATTTTTCAAAGGAATTTCTTAATGAAGTACTTGTATCTTAACTATGAACTCCCTGTAAGAACCCGCTACTAAATTTCTAAGCGCGTCCTTTGATGTATGGGAAAAATACTTCACCTCATAATTTCTTATGTAACCCTTATTTGGGAACAAAGAGTAGAGTTGTAAAATGAATTGAATCGATTAATCGAATACCGAGATATTTGAATTTGTATTTGTTAATTTTTTTTGAATACAATTCCAAACTCGAATGTGGAATGATTTTCAAATAAAATTTATGAAGGACATTTCAAATCTAACCTTAAATTCTGCGAAATCAAACTGTAAAATTCTTTACAACATACTCCCTCCGTCCCCTTTTAATTAAATCGTCTGTTTTGACTTTTGGACATATTTAAGGAAAAGAAAAAATATAGTTGATTTTCTGAAATTGCCATTACTTTTTAGGAGGGGCGACGATGAATGAGAATATAAGGTGAAGTCGTGAAGAAGAGTGACTTATTTTAGGAGTAGTTTAGGTATTTCATTTTTATTAGTTTACAAAAACAACTAATAGACAACTTATTTTGGGACGGAAAAAACAGACAATTTAAAATGGAACAACGGGAGTAGATGTGAAAAATGTATGCAACAAAGAATAGAGGCATTCATGGAATTGATTTATTTATTGGGTTCATTCACCTAGCATTGAAAGAAAAGAGAGTAAGCCCCAATATTATTTTTTAAAGTGACAAAATATTATGGCATATCCAATCTTTTACTAGAAAAGATAAGCAAGATACAGGTTCAAAGTACTATCTATATACTCCTTTATATATCAATGGCTAGGCTAAAAAAAGTTGTATCTTTTTATCATAAAGAAAAAGAAGCTTAAATTCAAAAGATCTATTTTAGCTATTTAGCCTTCTCCATTAAGCTTGTAGATGTCATCTATCATCAGGGAATCTCAACCCCACAGTCTTACCTTTTTTATCCCTTTTTTTGTCCCCTTCCCAATTCCAGTAATTACCAAACCTTCTGTGGCTGTTCGAGTTTTCCTATTCTTCTCCCTTCTGCTGCAAAAAAGCCCCATTGCTAAGCTAGAGCTTTCCTTTTCTACAAAAACTTAAAGTACCATTCACACAATGTGTGTGTGTACACACACACACACACACCTCACATATATATTACACACACACACACACCTCACATTTTGATCTCTGTTTCCAATCCAAAGATTATTTCACTCATATATCACCCCCCCGTTCCAAAAAAATTTACCCACTTTTTCTTTTTGAACGTCCCAAAAAATACTTCCCACTTTATTTCTCTCATTTAAACATGTGACCTCAGATAATTTTAACAAACATAGCCTAAAAAGCAAAGCCACGTTATGAAAAGCCAATAGAGCCTAAAAATGTAATAATACAAAAACAGCCAAAGTTGTAAGTGTGTGGACCTATATAATATATATATACAGTGGCAGGCTCACACAGTCACATGTTTACGTACTATAAACTGAGATAAGATAGGCTTCTTCCATGAATTCAAATCAATTTGAAGTACATGTCTGAATGGCTCACCATGTTTTAATGCATGGAAATTGGAATGAAGCGGTAGAATGAAGTCTCATCACACTTGTGGATTAGGTCCATCAAAATTAACTCCCAAATACTGATCAAGCACAGATTTGAATGCCTGTTGCGAAATATAAAAGAAAAGAATGAACCTCATTTCTTGGGTCCCTAAAGGACGGGCCGAGTAGTTACTTGGGAAGACGTAAATTGAGTTATAATGAGATGCCTTTCCTTTGGGCTTTGTTTGGTTAAGGTGAAATAGGAAAGAGAGATCTAGGAGAGAAATGGAGGATTTTTGTTTTTTTCTGAGAAGAGAATTTTTTACTCCCTCCTTCAAATTTACACCTTTTAATTTTGGTGAAGAAGTACAATTAGAGGAAATCATCATGTTTAATTACTCCCTCTGTTCCTAAAAGAACTTCATAGCTTCACCAAGTATATATAAAAGTTACCCGCACGGGTAGCTCAAGTGGCAAACACTTGGTGAAGTTTGGAGAATGACCAAGGATCGAAACCTGGCAGCGACCGTTGTGGAGGCGACCACCTCTGAAAAATGGGGGGAGTCTCTGGTGCGCACTAGGATATGGTCTAGCTAAGTGTTAGGCTTGGGTCACCGTGATTTACCTCCTCTCACATTCCCGTCGGGTCGGGGGTGAGGGGCGCCCGGGGTGAGCGATTTCACCTTTTTTGGAGAAGTATATATAAAAGTTTTAAAAAGTGAAAGGTGTTTGGTAAAAAGTAAAAAGCGTGTGAAAATTTATTTTGAATATAGAGAAACGATAAGAGCCATATATTAATTTCCTAAAGGAGCCGTAAAATTTATTCGTTAGCTTAACTAAATTCAACATGTTCAACAATTTTTTGAATCTAAAAGTAGGTTATATGATGAAAATAACATCTTTTCCTCAAATTTGACTCTTTTTATGGGACAAATATATGAAGAAAAAGAGGACTCTTTTTTTAGCACGGTGAGCATTATTTTTGTGGAGTGAATAGGATGGGTCCTGCCTCCTTTTTACTTCACCCAAGGAGAGATACACTCCTCATTTTACTACCTACGAATACACCAGTAAAATGAAGGCGCTCAAGGAACCATAATGAATACACCAGTTATCCATGATGCAACTCTATATGATTATACGAAATATAAATTGACCCAACTACAAGTACAGAAGTACCTGGCATGCAAATGACTCTTTCTTGTTTAAAAGAGCATCCATCGCAGCAAATTGGTCGTCAAACACACCATAGAAAATCTGGTAGAAATTGTTCCTAAGAGCACCAAACTTGTGTGACAGGATGCGAACAAATAAAGATACCATTCTCAACTGAAAGAATTGAAATAAAGATATAGGTACCGGTCGTCCTCGGCAACAAGGTGGTCCATCTCCTCAAGCTTACGAGTTAGTATTTCTGCTCCAAGAGGAGACAATGCATGCAACACTAGAGCCTCCAGAGTTCTTGGAAAATTATGCTGGAAAAGCAAAAAAATTATTTCTGTGAAGGTGTGGAACTGCGGTGGGAGAAATGGTAAAAGAAAATAAAGGATGTAGCCGAATAGTCTATCTTGAATATGTCAGGTCCATACTAAATACCAAACACTACAGTGAGAACAATAAGGAAGAAGATTGAACAAAGGAAGCAAACAAAAGATTATAACTTTCTTCAAGCCTTCGAGATGCTGAAGGATTAACAAGTGTAATGGAAAGAGATTTGAACGTAATTGAAACTTTTTCCAGGAAGAACAAATTTTGAAATGGATAAAATAAATCACTTTTATAAGGACAAGCCACCCAAAGTTAAAAGAAATGTATCACTATAATTCACAAAAAAATCAATGCTAGAACCTATCAAAGTATCAAGCCTTCGATTTGGAACGATAGACAGGAGTGAGAATACATTAAAAAACAATGAATAAAAAAAGGACTAAGAAATGGACTCACTGCCATGGCAAGAAAAACACTCCTAAGAGTGAGTGGCTTAAGGGACCAAATAAGATTCGCAACTTTATCTTCTAGAAAGTTAGAGCACTCATCCTTTCTGATAGCCCCTTGGCTGTTGGTTTCAACTTTGTGAGTGTTAGTAGAGCTGCAAACCATAGGTCGTTTTTGGTTGAAATGGTCATGGACTAAAGAAACAAGTTCATGCAGAGACTGGAGCTCCAAGGGCTCCAAATCTTGCAAGACAATTTTTTGCTCTAGTCCATTTCCATTCAAGCTGCCATGTCCACAGCTCAGGGCCACAGTAGGATTAGTATCATCTAGCAGACAAAATAGCACGTACTGTTAGCATCAGTGAGTACTGCATATAAAATACTCTATTGATAAGACATGATTTTGAAACCAATGTTTGAATCTACAAGTTACGGTTTGATATGTTTACCTCTGGATGCATTAGATGGCTGGTCACTTGAGGTGGCTGCAGGGTTAACCACAGATAGAGAAGGTCGAAGCAGCCTTTGGTTCTGGCCAGTCACAACATGCATAGTAAAAATAAAAGGCGTGTGGTTGAAATTTATTTTGGTGATAGAGGCATAATAAGAACCACATACTCATTTCCTTTAAGGAAAGTAAAGAAGTGTAAAGTTTTCTTTGGGACGCCCAAAATGGGAAGTGAAGTTCTTTTTGGTATAGAGGGACTACATAAAAAAATATAAACAGATCTACAAGAATAAAATCCTTCGAAAGGGTAGATTAAGATCAAGATGCTTACCATTTCTTGGTCAGTCAATCTTCGCGTTTGAATCCAAAACGTGGAGAGGAATCAAGGACAAATGGTCAGTGCGATATTCTTGTGGTATAAGAGAAGCAAACCAGACAAGATAACTCGATAACTACATAAACAAGAGAGCACAGTTAGTACCTTTTCAATATTCTTCGCATATAATATGCATCCATGTGCTGCAACATACTAGACATTATCTTTGATCGCCACCAAAAGTTAACAGCAATTGTGAAATCTTCACTGTCGACTTGGTGAAACCTATGTTAATGAAGAATAATAGTAATCTAAACTTATTCATTATAACTGCAAGATGAAAGAGGGGAATCATAGTCAATCTATCAATGGATAATATATGCAAATAATGGTGCATGTTATGTGACCAGTATTTATAATCATCTTGTTTGTCATTTATCAAAACCAAAGAATATATTCCAGAATATATAAAAGGGGTTTGAACTCATGTCCAACAATTTCCCCCTTTTTGATAATGACAAACATAGTTGAGAAAAAGCAAAGTTCAAGAAATACTTCCCTTAAATTAATTCTCCCTGCAAGGTTAGAAAAGTGCAGTAAAAAATATCAGAGTAACAAGCAGAAAAACGTTTTGAAAAACAAATTTTCTCAACTATCCTTCCTTCCCGCTTTTAGCATTATAAACTTGATAACTTTCCCCCTTAATTGATGCTAGGATTTTGAAGGATAGCCCAAAGATAATATTTTTAAAAGAGTTTGCAAGAGTTACCCTAAAAAAGGAAACACCAACAATATGCCACAAACGGAGAACATGTTCTTAAGGAAGAACAATATTGTCAAGCCAACAACAAGTAACAATATCCAATCCACAACATCAACAAATTAATATAAAAACATCATCATCATCCACTAAAAGAGTTATAACAACATTCATAACAATGTAACATAAATAAATAAACAAGTCAATAACATAAAAAGAGAGTAAGGAGAAGTCAAAGAGAGCTCGACAAGCGGGATCCTCCGTTGTAGCTGTGGCGAGGTCCGAAGTAACGTCGTCGCTCAGTCATCCGCTGCTCTAGGCGTGAGAGACGATATCCTTGCATGGTCATCTCCATGCGAGTATTTGCTACATCCGCGCGAGTGCACGTCATGTTGTCCAAAATCCTTTGAAGGAGGGACCGGTGAGAGCAATACGATGATGTAGAGCGGGACATACAAGATGGAGAGGAACGCCGACTTGACTTTTCTTGAGGCTCGAACGGAGTAATTTCTTAGACACTCGCCGGTGCGTCTTCCGGGTTGTGTTCTTTTTCACTCTTTTCTTCTCCTTCTTCTTCCACGATCTTAGGTACGTTAGAGCGGTTGAAGGTGGCAACGTCGATGTACCAAGTGTGGTGTTTGTTGACGTGAATGTCCTTCATCAAATTCATTTTATGCGCGCTCAAAATTACCATAATCGGGACTACATACACAAGAGCCCCTTTTGATTTCATCGAAAGGAGATGATGGCAAAAGAACTTCACCCAATTAATTTTGATACTCTTCACAAAAACAAAAAGGAGACGAGTGTCCGAGGAAAGTACTTTTGAATGGCTCGACTTTCCCAGAGCTAGTAGTTTCGAGATGAAATAGTGAAAAATACGAAAATGAGGTTTATGGCCTCCAACGGTCAAACGTTCGCGCTCACGAACGTCTTCATTCCCAACTTCGGTGATAGTGTCGTAGGGAGAAAATTTTTTGAATTCCCTAGACGTGGGTTTGTGAAAGTCACGCCCCTCAAAGGATAGATGCATTAGTTCACCGATATCCATGAGATTCATCTCAATGTCAGTGCCATTGACGAAGGATTTGAGAACCCGTCCGTTGAAAGAAAGATTGACATAAAACAAACGAATAAGATTTGGACAATAAAGATCGAATGTTCTACGTAAAAATTGAGTGAGACCGAGCGTGTCAACAAAATCAGTAGCATTGGCGAAAGGCACATGACAAAAGACGTTATGAATAACAAATTTGGGGGTTAAAATTCGGCGATTCAAAAAATCGTTGAAGAAAAGACGTTGGGAGTCACCCTCAGGAAAGATGAGCGAGGAGACATATCGTTCCTCTTGAGTAGTGCTGATTCACCGATTGTGGATCTTGAGCGCAAGCGTTTGGTGCTCCGACAATCGGACATGGTGCTAGGGTTTGCGTGTGAGACGAGAGAATTAGAAACCCAAAAAAAAGTACCTGCGAAATTAAATTGCCCAGTGGATCGATCCAGGCATATTGATCAATCCACTAGGCAATTTCATTTCGCAGGTACATTTCCTTGGATCGATCACCTGGACTTTTTTTTGTATCAGGTACAGTTCTACGGAGGATCGATCCCAGCCGTTGGATTGATCCCTCTGACTTAGGGTATAAATATCTCCTCTTCGTCGTTTTTCATTATTACTTATGTGCTCTTCGTCTCTCTACCTCGGCGACCAAAGCTTCTCGCAACCCAGGTATCATTCTCGTCCCTATTCTTCGATTTCTCCTTTTCTTGCAAAATTATTGATAATTGTTGAGTATTTGCTAGATTATTTACTTATTTGGTGCTAATTTCCATTTTTTGGGTTTTCTAATTCTCTCGTCTCTCACGCAAACCCTAGCACCATGTCTGATCGTCGGAGCACCAAATGCCTGCGCTCAAGATCCACAATCGGTGATTCCAGCACTACTCAAAAGGAACGATATGTCTCCTTGTTCATCATTTCCGAGGGTGACTCCCAACGTCTTTTTCTTCAACGATTTTTTGAATCGCTCAATTTTAACCCCCAAATCCGTTGTTATAACGTCTTTTGTCATGTGCCTTTTGCCGATGCTACTCATTTTGTTGACACGCTCGATCTCACTCAATTTTTACGTAGAACATTTGATCTTTATTGTCCAAATCTTATTCGTTGGTTTTATGCCAATCTTTCTTTCAACGGACGGGTTCTCAAATCCTCCGTCAATGGCAGTGACATTGAGATGAATCTCATGGATATCGGTGAACTGATGCATCTATCCTTTGAGGGGTGTGACTTTCAGAAACCCGCGTCTAGAGAATTAAAAAAAATTCTCCATACGACAGTATCACCGAAGTTGGGAATGAAGACGTTTGTGAGCGCGAACGTTTGACCGTTGGAAGGCCTTAAACCTCATTTTTGTATTCTTCACTATTTCATCTCGAAACTACTAGCTCTGGGAAAGTCGAGCCATTCAAAAGTACTTTCCTCAGACACTCGTCTCCTTTTTGTTTTTGTGAAGAATATCAAAATTAATTGGGCGAAGTTCTTTTGTAATCATATCCTTTTGATTATATCAAAAGGGGCTCTTGGGTATGTGGTCCCGATTATGGTAATTTTGAGCGTGCATAAGGTGAACTTGATGAAGGATATTCACGTCAACAAACACCAAACTTGGTACATCGACGTTGCCACCTTCAACCGCTCCAACGTACCTAAGGCGATGGAAGGAGGAGAAGAAGAGAGTGAAGAAGAACACAACCCGGAAGACTCACCGGCGGGTGTCCGAGAAATCGCGTCGTTTGAGCCTCAAGAAGAGTTAAGTCGGCATTACTCTCCATCTTGTGTGTCTCGCTCTACATCGCCGCATCGCTCTTACCTGTCCCTCCTTTAAAGGATTTTGGACGTCGTGACGTGCACTCGCGCGGATGTGGCGCATACTCGCATGGAGATGACCATGCAAGGACATCGTCTCTCACGCCTAGAGCAGGGGATGACAGAGCTCGAGCGACGACCTTACTTCGGACCTTGCCATAGCTACAGCGGAGGATCCCGCCCGTCGAGCTCTCTTTGACTTCTCCTTGCTCTCTTTTTAAGCTATTGACTTTAAAAAAATTTCTTGTACACTGTTTGACACACAAAATATTTTTGGGACTCAATTTCTACACCAAAAATCATTTCTTAATTCAAATTTTGAATTTGAATCAATTCATTTCAACCTATTTGATTTGTTTGTTTTTGGGAGCCTCCTCATCCCTGAAAACATGTTTAAAACAAATCAAAAGCTCTAATTTGTACAATCCACTCGCACACATGTTTTGGGTCCTCCTTGTTTGGCCGTTGTTCGTCAGGGGATCGATCCTCTTCAATGAATCACTCACTGTGTAGAGTGTTTCGGAAGTGGATCGATCTACTCAATTGGATTGATCATATTATTTTCGCAGAAATTATTCGGAGGATCGATCCAGGGGGGTGGATCGATCCCCCGTTACTTTGACAGAAATCCCTTCTCGAATTTTAACTCCAGGTGATTGATCCTTTGCCCTGGATCGATCCCCAACGTACTTTCTATCAAAAACACTTCATCCCTACCTCCAACGTTTTTATTTCTTTGAACCCTATAAAATCTCTCATCCTCCTTCATCAAATACACATCTCTTGCACTCCATTCCTTCATTATTCAATATTCAACTCTTGCTTCAATCTTCCTCATCAAATACATTATTTTGAAAGTTAGAAATATTTTTGTTGAGTGCTAAAGATATTGTCATCCATAAAACTTTCATATTTCAAACACTACTTGCTCAAATTGTATGACTTTCATTCTTGTGTTGTAAAACTCACTCTTGTTTGAGTTGTTGTTAACACTTGTGTGACTCAAGACTTGTTGTAAGAAGTTGAGGCTTCCGTGATTCAAATTTTCGAGTTGTATCGGTTTTTCAAGCACCCGTTGAAGCTTGAAGATTAGTAGGACCTTTGATAGAGTCTCTCGGAGGACTGGACTAGCCACGAGGTGGTGAACCAGTATAAATCACGGTGTACTTCTTCCCTTGCTTTTTACGTTATTCCTTCGATTTTTATTCCGTTATCACACACGCGAAAAACACACATTCTAATAAACAACTTTATTCACCCCTCCCATTAGAGTTGCACTTTTGTCTAACATATAATACATCCTGGATTTCCTAGAAGGTCACGATATAGTTGCAATGGCATGCCCAGAGAGTTTACATAAGGAGGGCATAGCTTACAGTGCTTTAAAAATGACACATTAAATATCCATAGATACCTAATTTCTATGAAGTTTAGAGCAGATGCAGCAATTTATCAAGAGTCTAACATAATTTTTGACGTATGGTTGTTTGGTTGTGTATATCTTGACCCCCAGACCCCAAAGGAATTGGGATTATTTGGATTTGTTGTTGTTGTTGTTGTGCAGTCAGCATCCTAATTGATCAAAGGTGAAGAAGATCTTCAGAGTTCCAAGGAACGGTATATGCATAACAAGAGTAACTATCAATTATTAAATTACCATCCTTCAGGAATGAAAAGCACATCACTAGCATGAAGAACAACCATCTGGGAATGCTTGTTCAAATATTTTGCCCTTGGGTACATTGACAGGTCTGGATTTCCTAATGTAACCGCACTGGAAAAGAATAGAAATAAGATTAATGGCCATGCTTAAAAGATATAAGTCCCTATAGCATCAATCTCTAACATGAGAAGAAAGAGTCATGGGATCAGGATTTTTAAATGTGTTTAAGAAAACTACCTGTGGTTTGATGCTTCCCCATATAAAGGCAGTGGATATAAGTAGAGGCTTGCAGAAGGTGGCCATAAAGAAACTGGTGACAATGACAGTAATTATTGAGTATTATAATATTATTATAGTTATAATTATAATTGAGTGAGAAATGAATCCATGCAAGTGAGACATTTCTTTTAAAATATCATACGAAGTAGCATATAAAAATACTAACCGTGTAATGATGGAAAAAAATGACCATAAAGCAACTGATACTGATAAATCATAGATGAGCATCAAGGGCCGAGGGGCATGCGGGTTGAAGAAGTTCAATACATCATAAAAAAAGATTCTAGAGTGTAATAAGCAACAACAACCCAATTAAATCCCACAAGAGTAGGGTCTGGGGAGGGTGTGTGTACGCAGACCTTGCCCCTACTTGAAAGTAGAGAGGCTGTTTCCAAAGAGACCCCCGGCTCAACGTCGAAAGTTGCATTGCTTGACTAACTGCTACTTCATTAATTAAAGAAGCGCAGACAGTTTAGAGATCCATTTTGATTTACCGCGGCTGCTGGCACCAGACTTGCCCTCCAATGGATCCTCGTTGAGGAATTTGGATTGTACTCACTCCAATTACCAGAGTGTAATAAGCAGTAACAATTAATAAATGTCCATTTCCTTAAAAGTTTTAATATCTACAAGTCTAGTACTCACGTTAATCCAAAACTAAAGGCCCAACCCATGCCAATCCAGCAGAAAGCCAAAGTGCATAAAACGGAAATGCAATCTAATAATTGCAATTAATTACAAATTGTATGTAAAGTACTACTAAGGTATGACAAAACTAACCTTGTTTACATCCAGAAACTACGCATAAAAGATTGTTGTGTGGATCATAGTGAGTGCTTGATCTAGTCTTAGCACTATTCATCCACAAATTGATGGAACTGATGCTTTTTGTCTGCAAAAACTCAGGCTGTGCCGAAAGTAATCATTTCTAGAGATATTCTAAAGAAAAATGAAAATAACATAAATCATACTAATGTGGGCTCAGAACTACAAGAGTACATAGATGCCGAGAAGCAACCCACGCACTATATCAATGTCTTCAAGTAAACACTTCAACCGTATGGCCTCTTCGTTCTCAGCATTCAGTATTGGAACCTGTCGCACCCCTAAAATTGTAATACATTTGCAAAAATTATTTGCTACAGATGAGTTAGACAATTGAGTCCGTTTCACCTGAGCTAGATAAAATTGCTGAGCCTCTGTTACATCACAATCAGTTTGCTCACTGCCAGGCATTTCCAACCTATTCTTATCAGAGTGACAAGGATTATCTTCTTCATCTTCCTTATTGCGCAGATGATCCATGCAAAATCCAATGAAGGTTGAGAATGGCAATGGAACCTTAGAAAATAGATATGTCAAGGTAAGAATAGCTGAACATATTTAACCAAGACAAAAAAAAACCTGAAACATTTTATCAATACAGATGCAATACTCTGTAATAGTTACCCTTTCGTGACTTCTAATGTCACCATAAAAGACTGGTGGAGATCTGGACAGCATCACTTCCACAACAGATGATCCAACACGTTCCTAATTCCAGAAATCCCGATTAACAAAGGGCAAGATATTTTCAGATAACTATTCGTCCATTCTACACCACAACTAGGGAACAAAACCAAGAACATGTGAAATGAAATTTATTGTTCCAGCACTGTGGTTTCACTCTTGGCTAAGAACTTCTTCAAAGAACATCACTTCTAAAGCTAAGCCTCAATGTGCAGATAAAATACCTCAATCCTGTAGCATTATGGAATTGCACACAAGGGTAGAGTTCTAGACAGATACTCCCTCCGTCCCAATTTAAATCGTCTGACTGTTGTTTACGAGGTTTGACTAAATTATTCTCAATTCAATTAATTTGCAAATAGGTTTGAAATTAATAAATTAAAAGTATATATTTAAAAACTACATAAAAAGTTCTCCAAAACACGATGTGACAAGATTATACTATTTTATCAAATGAGTACCTAAAAATGAGTAAAGAACACGGCTAAAGTTTGACCTTAAGTAACTAACTACTTGAGCCTTCAAAGTGAGTTAAAAAGCAGGGAAATCTCAAAATAACAGAAACCTGCAAATAAGAGAGGCCGCCATTGGAGGGATTCCAGTTGGATAAAGCCTTCCAGTACTTGACGCATCCTCGGAAAACCTTCTTCCCAAAAAATTAAACAAATATTACATACGCAGTTGCAAGTTCATCGCCATATAAAATCGAGTTCATGGAATGCGATAAGATACAGCTGGAACATTCTTCGGTTCAATCTGGAATTCAAACTCTTCTGCGGACGGGACTCGGTCGAGTGTTTGAATGCGAAGAGATTCCTCCATTGCCATCGCTGCAGAGTTGAGAAGCTGGTGAATCCGGAAGCGGATTCTAGTTGGATGGGCCAAGTATTCACCGGGAAACATATAGGGCTTTGGGCCGGCATGGCTACACTCCACTGGCCTTCTTTAAATTAGTGTAATTCTTGCCATGGTGAAGTAACTAGAGAAAAATACTCATAAATTAGGAAAATAGGGAATGTACACCAACATGGTTATCTAATTTGTACAGACTAAAAGCATCTCCAACCATAGCAAAATGACTTGCTATATGTTATAATTTGACAAGCATATACAAAATTTTATGCTCCAAGGGGTTATTCAAAATTTGACTAGCTTGCTAAAAAATGAAAACACATTGCTATTTATAACAAGCATGCTAGAATATAGCTAAACATAAATTAAGGTAAATTTCTTTTACAATGATATATACTGCACAAATTAAATACGTATAACATTTTTTTGTTTTTTCAATGTGAATGAGATTTTTACCGTAGGAAGAGTTCTTTGGTTTATTTTATTTTAAATAGAAATATTTTATTTTATATTTTTTAATTACATACTATTAGAATATAAATAACTTATTCTAGACATAACCACAAGTTTGAGCTTTTGGTTGAATCGGTTCTTTGACACATACTCCATATTTATTACTTTTTTTTACGTTTACAGGAATAAATACAATTCAAGAATTATTGTATTTGGTGTATTATACTCCCTCTGTCCCATTTTAAATTACCTGTTTGTCTTTTTTCTCCGTTCCAAAATAAGTTGCTTGTTAGTTGTTTTCGTAAACTTTTAAAAACAAAATACCTAAACTACCCCTAAAATAAGTCACTCTTCTCCACTTTATCTTCCATTTATCATCACCCCTCCTAAAAAGTAATGTCAATTTCGGAAAATCAACTCTAATTTTTATTTTCCTTAAATATTCCCAAAAGTCAAAACAGACGATTTAAATTGGAACGGAGGGAGTAATGGTTATTGGAACAAAATATATTTGTTACTTACTCCCTCCGTCCAAAAAAGAATTACCCATTTACTATTACGGCCTCTCGATAACTCTTATTTATTTTTGTATTTTCATTGATTATTTGATAAAATAAATTTTTGTCAGCTCTTATTTTGTAAATTTTTTGATGTAGTTTTTTAAATATAATTTTTTATTTTGTATTTTATTTAACAATTTATAAATAAAATCATTTTAAAATCATGGAGTTTTGCACGTTGATCAAAAATGAGTAAAACATTATTGGAAGGAGAGAGCATAATATAACAAGTCATGGTTGGAGAAGGGAGCAAAAAGTGACTTGTTATACCACTATTCATTAGCTAAAAAAAAGCAATAGCAAGCCACATATACCAAGCCCCATTGGAGATGCTCTAACACAAATACAAAATATCTCTTTAGCATGGATATTTTGTATCTGTGTTAACTTGGTGTACAAATAGGGTACCCCATATTGGTGTATCCGTTAGGTTAGTTATAGACAAATTAATACATTGGAGACAAAAAAAATCTTGAGAAGGAAGAACTTAGAAGTATGAATTTGACTTTTAGGCAACCTTCCCACTAAAAAAAATAATAACCTTTCTCTTCTATGGAGGTTGCAGAACGATGGCTAGAAGATTAATCCTTATGTTTTGTGCTAATGACTGAGCGATGGATGTCCCCATCCATATCCTATCACCGATCTCATGCTTAAGTTCATTATCAAACCCAGCAGCTGCAAAATCCCAGAATTATCAATCTATCAGGGCGGCCAAAACCTCTGCAAAACCCACAAAAACCCCTTCCATTATAGCCGCTTCCTGGAAAGGGAACTTGAGAGAAGCACTCGCATCTTTGGGCGTGTTAAATTCACAGGGAAACCCCATTCCTACTTGCTTAGACGAGCATTACTCGTTTGCAATTGAGCTCTGTGCTGCGCAGAGGGAACTGTCCTGCGGCAAGCAGATTCATGCCCATTTCTTGAAGTCAAACTGGGTGCATGATGCGGTGTTCCTGAACACAAAACTTGTGTTCATGTATGGGAAGTGTGGGTCGGCGGTGGATGCTGGGAAGGTGTTTGATAGAATGCCCGAGAGAACTATTTTCACCTGGAATGCTATAGTTGGAGCTTATGTGAATAACGGCAAACCCTTGAGAGCACTTAAGGTGTATGAGGAAATGCGGGCTTTGGGCGTCCCCCCTGATGCACATACTTTTCCTTGTGCATTGAAGGCATGTGGTGAAATAGGGGATTTAAGTTGTGGGACTGAGATTCATGGGCTGGTTTTAAAATTGCGTTTTACGTCTAATATTTTTGTCGTGAACTCTCTTGTGGATATGTATGGCAAGTGCAATGATCTCAGCTCAGCAAGGCTCATTTTTGACAGAATGAGCCACGGATATGATGTTGTGTCACTGAATTCTATAATATCAGCTTATTCTGCAAATGGGATGGCAGAGGAAGCTTTAAGTCTCTTCATAGAATTGCTGAAAGCTGGTTTGAATCCAAGCACATATACTCTTGTGGCTGCTTTACAGGCCTGTGAGGAACCATTCACTGGGACATTTGGCTTAGAGGTTCATGCTCTTGTAATAAAATCTGGTCATTGTCTTGATGCTTATGTTTCAAATGCTCTGCTAGCTATGTATATAAGGAACAATAAAATGCATGAAGCTGCACAAATTTTTAATGGTGTTGATCAGAAAGACACTATTTGTTGGAACTCTATGATATCCGGTTATGCACAAAATGGTCATTTTGTTGAAGGTATTGATTTGTTTCACCAAATGATTAATTCAGGGAGGAAACCTGACTGCGTTTCACTCATGAGTGTGCTCTCTGCATCTGGAAGATTGGGAGACTTGCTACACGGAAAGGAAACTCACGCATTTGCATTGAAACGTGGTTTGGATGGAGAATTGCAAATCGGAAACACCCTTGTAGATATGTACGCGAAGTGTGGGAAGATAGATTATATGGACCGTGCCTTCCGCAGAATACTCCATAAGGACTTCATTTCTTGGACAACTGTCATTTCTGCATATGCTCAGAGTTACCCCCTACAGGCTCTGCAACTGTTCCGGGAGGTTCAATTGGAAGGAATTGACATTGATGCATTGATGATTGGAAGTGTTCTCCTTGCCTGTGGTGAGTTGAGGCTCAATTTAATTGCAGAAGAAGTTCATGGTTACTCAATTAGAAGAGGGTTATATGATCTTGTCACGCAGAAAACCCTAATTCGTGTTTATGGGGATTGCAGGAACTTAGAATATTCTAGGCGCATTTTTGTGATGATTGGTGTCAAAGATGTCGTGTCCTTGACTAGCATGATGCGTAGTTTTGTACACAATGGCCTTGCAAATGACGCTCTTAACCTCGTGCTTTATATGAAAGAGGTGGGTATGGAACTCGATTACGTTGCAGTCCTGAGTATGATCTCTGCAGCTACTAGTCTATCAGTTTTAAGGAGAGGACGGGAGGTTCATGGATACTTAATCAGGAAAGGTTACGTTTTAAAGGGCTCTATAGCAAGCTCTCTTCTAGATATGTATGCCTGTTGTGGGACACTAGAGGACTCATTCAAGATCTTTTCTACTGTAAACGAAAGAGATCTTGTTCTGTGGACAAGCATGATTAACTCATATGGAATGCACGGACGTGGGGTTGAAGCAATTGGCTTATTCCTAAAGATGGAGGAGGAAAATATCGTTCCTGATCACATTACCTTTCTGGTTCTTCTTCACGCGTGTAGCCATTCAGCCCTAGTGGCGGAAGGCAAAATAGTTTTTGAGACAATGGAGAGAAAGTATAATTTGGAGCCATGGCCTGAACACTATGCCTGTTTGGTTGATCTCCTCGGACGCGCAAATCACTTGGAGGAAGCTTTTCAAGTGTTGAGAACGATGAAACCAGAACCAACTGCTGCTGTTTGGTGTGCTCTTCTTCATGCTTGTCATGTGCACTCTAACAAAGAATTAGGAGTCATTGCTGCAAAGAAGCTTCTAGAATTAGAGCCAGAGAATCCCGGAAATTATGTGCTTGTGTCTAATGTATATGCTTCTGGGAATAGGTGGGATGATGCAGAAGAAGTGAGGACAACAATGAAAGGGCAAGGAATGAAGAAAGAACCCGCTTGTAGTTGGATCGAAATCGGCAATGAGGTTCACACGTTTGTGGCCCAAGACAAGTCTCATCCACGGTGCGATGAGATTTACCAAAAATTATCTTTCATCACCAAGAAACTAGAGACAGAAGGAGGTTATGTTGCGCAAACCAAACACGTCTTCCAAAATGTCGAGGAGAGCGAGAAAGTTTGGCTTCTTAATGGACACAGTGAGAGGCTAGCCATTGCCTGGGCTCTACTTGTTACGGACTCTAAAACCCAAATACGTATCATGAAAAACCTCCGCGTCTGCGGTGATTGTCATAATTTCATCAAGCTAGCTTCGAAGGTACTCGAACGAGATATTATAGTGAGAGATGCGAAAAGATTTCACCACTTCAGGAATGGGGCTTGTTCTTGTCGAGATTTTTGGTGAATGTCAATAGTAGCAGTTCTTGCTCATTAACCAAAAATAACCAAGTTATTTTGGTGTTATGACCTTTGACAAAGACAAAAGTTTACAATGAATCAAATCATTCTGTATTTTGAAAAGTGAAACTTAACTATTTATCAAAAGAAAAACTATTTAGAACTAGAGTATACTTCATTTATTTATATCAAAATAAAACATTCAATACATTTATACCAAAATAAACTTACAACAACAATAACTCAGTTGAATCTCAGAAGAGTAGGGTCTGGAGAGGGTGTGTGTACGCATCATCCCAACTTGAAAGTAGAGAAAATGTTTCCAAAGAGGCCCCCCAACTCAGCGTCAAAAGTTGCCTTGATTGATTAAGGTCATGTTCTCTTTACCTGATTTGAATGATTCTGATTTAATTGGAAGAAGTTCTAATCTGATCTGAACATGGTTATATTTAAAGTTGTTTCTGATTTAGTATGATCTGATTCTAATAAAAAAAAGTAATAAGTAATAAAAATAAGTTGAAGAGAACAAAACCTAACAGCTACTTCATTAATTAAAGAAGAGCGGACAATTTAGAGATTCATTTTGTTTTATTCCATCACACCTCAAAGCCAAAAAATAGTGCATTTTTGGCTCCATCGGAGATGATGGAAATTCCGAAATTAAACTTTTAATGTCAAAAATAATTAATATACTCCTAGGAGTATAATGCAAAAAATTACTTTTAAATGTTGGTATACAATGTTAAGTCGTGGCATTACGCAGTGTCAAAACTTCTAGGAGATAAAAACTTAAGGCTAATATCATGAATGTCCCTCATGGTTTACAAAAGTGGCGCTAAAATTTTCTCTATATATAAAAGCTATTTGTGAAATCTCTACGATTTTATTTTAATGTTTTAGTCTTACTTAATTTTATTCCATTTTTTATCAAATGAAGATTAAATTGCTAGTTAAAAAAATACTACCTCCGGCCTAAAAAATTTTTATTTTTTACTCCGTATTTTTTTTGTCAAACAATGACGTTCTTTGAATAAAAAAGTCTCAAATTTTTATAACATCTACTTGTTCAAAACTTCAAATTATGTTTAATTTTCCATGAAAGAATCTCATAATTTAATCAATAAAAATCAAAATAGGAAAATTTTTAATGTGTGGGTCTCATGAGAAGATGTTCTTCGTTGCGGGATGTACGGAGTACTACGTACAGGCGTACAGCTTAATCAGTTTAAACCTAAACCCTCAATCATCCCCCTGCTTCCCCACCTGGCCGGAGCCCTGTCATAACTTCACCGACCCGATCGTCTCCTTCACCGTTCCGGTGAGTACCGAAATTCGCGGCGGAGGAGACAATGCCGCTCTCTTTTGGCTTCTCGGCGTGTATTTCTCCAACACACACCAGAAGCATATCGAAGGTGCTCGATCGGAATCCGTACCTCATCGTTGACTCGCGGAAAAGAGTCTCATCCACCCATTCCCATGCCGTCGAGACCAAAACAACCGTCACCTACGATGTTTCCGACACGGCGCGTCTGGTCCTGAGGCCGGTGGTTCCGGTGACTAGGGCTGCTCCACCAGATGAGCGGAAGGAGAATGCTTCCCGGATGACGAAACTGGTTTGCACCATCGGCCCTGCCACTTGCGGGTTCCCCGAGTTGCAGGAACTGGCCGTCAATGGAATGAGCGTTGCTCGATTGAACATGTGCCACGGGACCCACGAATGGCATAGACGCGTGATAGAGAATGTGAAGATGCTCAACGACGAGATGGGCTTCTCCATTGCCATCATGATGGATACTGAGGGAAGTGAGATCCACTTGGGTGATCTTGGTGGCGCCACCTCAATTAAGGCCGAGGTAAATTGGTGTGATTTCAATTTCTCTCTTTGCATATAAATTTGGGGAATTTTTCTTGTTTCCATTGGAGGTTTAGGGATCTCAAGTTTTAGTATTTTGTTTGGTTATGGAATGGTGATATGACCTTTATTACAATTAGGACGGCGATGTTTGGACCTTCACTGTGAGGTCATGTTCTTCTTCTCTGCCCGAACATACGGTTGTTGTGAATTATGACGGCTTCTCAGAAGGTTGGTTCGCGAAAAATCAAACAGTTACACACAAAACACATAATAATAGCTATTGCCGAGTATTATTTTTCGATCCTAAAATGGTCACCGTATTGGTTGAGAATGCAGATGTTAGCATTGGAGATGAAATCGTGGTGGATGGTGGGATGGCAAGGTTTGAGGTTGTCGAAAAGATGGGCCCAGATGTCAAATGCTGTTGCAGTGATCCTGGGTTGTTGTTGCCGTGTGCCAACCTTACCATCTGGAGGGAGGGTAGACTTGTTCAAGAGCGTAATGCCATGCTCCCAACCATTTCTTCTAAGGTGAGTGGCACATGAGCCTGTTTGATTGGGTAAATTTGGTTGTTATTGTGATTATTGTTGAAAACATTGTTGAAATTGCTCGATTATATTAAAAAACCTGAGTATATTTTAAGTTCATTATTTTTATTGAAAAAATGTAAATGGTCACCTTTAGCAACTTCAGCTAAAAGAAACATTGTCGTTTACTTTTTTCACGATTAATTAATTTTCAAAATGCAAAATAATCTAATTAGCTGTCTTACATTACATATACTACTCCATAGCTTTTTATGAGGTTTCTTGCGTTTGCAGGATTGGCTTGACATAGATTTTGGGATCAGAGAAGGGGTTGACTTCATTGCAGTGTCATTTGTCAGAACTGCTGATGTGATAAATGACTTGAAGAGTTATGTTGCTTCACACACTCATGAGAAGTAAGCATTCAGATTATGTTGATACCAAATTTCAATATTTCTGTTTTATTAAGTGCCTGATTTACGGGCATTTTAATCTCGTCAGCCCCTAATCGACATGATTTTTCACAAAGCACTGACTTGCTCTATTGGAGTTGCTAATGAACTGGTTGAATCGGCAACTAATGAAATAAAGTAATGCAGAAGTTACTAACTATGTGCACGGAAAAGGCTGAATTTTTAAATATGACTTCTTTAATCCATTAAAATACAGTATTTTTAGGTTCAGTTTATTTAGCCATTCCAACCACAGTTTCAGCATATTTAGTAGATTCAAGCACTTCATTCCATATAGACATTACCGAACGGGTTTTTCATGACTTGATAATTCATTCATAGGAATTGTACTCTCATATTCAGTCATGCTCGCGATTATCTAAAATTATCTTTGATGTAAAACTGCAGTAGCGTAGCTATAATTGCAAAGATAGAGAGTGTTGACTCTTTGCAGAATCTGCAAGATATCATTCAGGCATCGGATGGGGTTATGGTGGCCAGAGGAGATCTCGGTGCTCAAATACCATTGGAGCAAGTGCCATCAGTGCAGAAGCAGATTGTTGAGCTTTGCAGAGGGATGAACAAACCTGTAATTGTTGCTTCACAGCTGCTTGAGTCCATGATTGAATTCCCTATACCGACCCGAGCTGAAGTTGCAGATGTTTCTGAAGCAGTAAAGCAGAAGGCTGATGCCCTTATGCTTTCTGGTGAATCAGCCATGGGACAATTCCCTGTGAAGGCATTATCTGTTCTGAGAAGTGTCAGTTTTAGAATAGAGAAATGGTTGAGAAATGAAAGATGTAAGGAATCTGCTGAACCGTTTTACGACACGAATCTGTTTCCTGGAAGCATACAGGAAGAGTTATGCAATGCTGCCGTAAATATGGGTAAGTTTTCCCTTGATAGCTCTTTCTTAAGTTCATTGAGAACTATTATTACTGTTCAAAAGCATTCGTTTGGCATTAGCTTTAACGATTTGAAAATGTTATTCAACAGTAGCTTTCGTAAGTGTTTTCAAAAGTTAATTAGCACTTTGGTTTGATTTCATTTAATTAATGTGACATTAACTGTGTATTCTTCGTATACATCATTTCTTACATTATTCACAGCCAACAGCTTGGAAGCAGATGCGCTTGTTGTTTTCACAAGAACGGGTAAAATGGCATCACTTCTGTCTCGCGGGCGACCAAACTGCCCAATCTTTGCCTTCACTCAATCCGCATCTGTCCAAAGATGTCTGAACTTGCAGTGGGGCGTAACGCCATTGAAGCTTTCGTTATCAGACAATTTGGAGCACGATTTGGGTCGGGCGTTTGTTTTCCTGAGGGAGAATGGGATGATAAAATCGGGCGACACCATTGTGACCATGTCAGCTGCATTGCAGTCAATCCAAGTGGTTTCAGCTCCTTGAACAAATGTGGGACACTTGTTTAGTTGAATGTTATGTTATGTGGGAAAGATTAAAAGTGGTAGTGTTACTAAATTGATTGTGTTGTAGGTTTGGTAATTCAGCAGAAAAGGACTGTATATCATATGCTAAACATGTTTTCATTTATTCCTTTTATCATGTTTATTATTTTATCACCAAAAAAGTCTTTGAGTTTTGAACTAAATAAGGCAAGTCTCATTATAAGAGCATGAGATTGGATTCTAATACTTCATGATATGAAAATCTTTTGTGGGTCTTCATGATTTGATGTTTACTACCCGTAGTAGTATAACAACCCTTTCAAATAAGGATGAATGTTTGATCGGTCCGGTTCTAGTACCACTGGAGAACAGTGCTACTGCGTTTTTGGGGTACCTTCGGTGCTCCGTTCGTAAAAATGATGGTTCCTACTCCCCTAACCCACCCCCCTAAATCCTCCACCCTATCCACACCCCGGCACCCTCACCCCAACCCCGCCGTAAGTCCCCTACAAAATGTGTGACTATTATGCAATGCAGTGGGGGTGGGTTTAGGGGGTGGGTTTAGAGGGTGGGTTAGGGGGGTAGGAACCGTCAATTTTACGAACGGAGCACCGGAGGTGTCCCAAAAATGCAGTGGCACCGTTTTCCGGTGTCACTAGAACCCCACCGATGTTTGATATATCCTGAATTCGAAAGATATTGGAGGTTTGATATCTTCTTTCAGCACCGGCCACCCACTATCGTTGTCAACCGCCCACATTATCCTCGGCCATCTCTTGCATGTCGCATTATTTTAGATCTCTCACTATATTTTTATTTTAGATTTTAAAAATTTATACTATTTCTTTACTAGCTTGTATAATTTATTTAAAACGAACCTTGATTTCAAATAAAACAAGGGAGTATGTTTAACTAAAAAAGGTTACAACAACGACAATGACATGGTCAGTATCTAACAAGAGTACATATTCTAAAACCATGAGGTTAAAGGAGGGCTTCTTCTCCTCCCGAATTTCGAGAAGAAAAAGGAGTACTACTCCACCGTGGAGTAGAAGAAAGTGAGATAGGATCCCTATATGACATGTGTCACTTTTTCTTTTCCTTTTCTTTTTTTATATGGAGTAATAATATTGGACTGTAGGAAAAGTTTTTTTTACGGTTGAAAGGTAAGGTTCGGGTGACATTAGTGTCTCATGTCATTCTATGACTATGACATAATGACATGATCCTAAGGGTCCGTTTGATACACGGAATTGATGAAATTGGAATTGAATTAAAATTAAAATTCCATAGGATTCAATTCCATAGAATTGAATTCACCAATTCCAATTCATTTTTTGCACTATCAATTCTAAATCCACACAATTTTTGTACTACCAAACACGAGAATTGGAATTGAAATCCTCAATTTCAATTCCATAATTTGAATTATGTGTACCAAACGGGGCCTAAAGATCCAAAATCTAAAGTCTAATTTTGTTCAAGTTACAAATATCTTATTCACCAAATATAATATTATATTGTGTATCTAAATTCTCAGAGTAAACTCCCCATATATGTAAACAAATTAAAAACACTTCCTGCCAGTGTAAGTCAGTGTTTTATTTCCTGGCAGTGCATCACGGAGTTCCCTACTCCGTTTGATTTCGAAATAATAAACAAAACGGAGTAGGCTAGTCCGTTTCTCATGATTTTATTTCTGAGACGGAGTAGCATACTCCGTTCGGATTTAATAATACCCAGACGGAGTAGGTAACTCCGTGTCCCTTCAAATCACCTATCCACTCCCCTCCCCATCCACTCGTTTTTTACTCTTGGCCACACAGAGAGAGAACGCCGAGAGAGAAGGAAAAGTCTGGCCGAGAGAGAAGGAAACGCCGAGGGAGAGAGAAGTGCGACGAGGGGGAGATCGACGGACCCAACGTGACCGGAGTCAGGTACTCCGTTTTGTCTTTAATTTTTTTTTTAAATTTGTTTGATTGTTGTTGTATATAATTTAGTAAATAGATTGTATGTATAGGTGCTTTTTTTGTTATATTTGTTTTGATGATGTGAAAATATTGACAAATATATAGTTTTAATCTTACAAATTTGATACAAATTTGTATGTATGTATAGGTGGTTACTTCATGATTTTTTTTAAATATAATTGTCTTGTTATATTTTTAATAATTGAATATATTCTTATGTTGTAATCTTTGAAGCAAATGGATGTACATCCGGGACCTATTTTACGCGATGTTTTAGTAATTGAAGCGGGAGACCATAGGTGTGATGCGGTTTGGGCCGAAGAAGAATATGCTAAAAAAGTATTAAAGTGTCACAGGACTTGTACTAGTTTGTATACGAGGAATCTTATTGTTAATAGACCGGTTCGTGTGAGTGAGTTTTTACGAGAATACGGATTTTATGGGGTTGAGAAAGTTGGTGGCTTGCAGTTGGACTGGCTTTGATCACAGCTCTAGTGGAGAGATGGAGGCCGGAGACCCATTCATTCCATCTTCCCTTCGGAGAGGTTGGAATTACTTTACAGGATGTAGAGGTTTTACTGGGATTGCCCGTAGATGGCAATCCATTGGCGGGGATGACTGGCCGATCCAGAGACCAGTGGATTCAGATTTGTGAGGACATGATGGGATTTCAGCCTCAAACTTCTGATATTACTTCTACTATGATTAAGATGTCTGCCATTGTTCCTAAGCAACTAACAGATCATAGTTTAGATGTAGATTACTTGCAGCATGCCAGAGCCATTATGTTTAAGTTGTTGGGTGGTAGCCTATTTCCCAACACGACGGGAAATAAGGTTAGTTTGTATCTTTTAGAGATAATCATGGGTGACGCAAACACTGTGCGAGGTCNGGCTTGGGAGCGTCTGCCTATGACTAGACCTAGAGGGGTTATACCATTTGATCAGCTAGTAGATGTCCCATATGGAGTCAGGTATTTGTAGTTTATTTATGTATATTATAAAATCATATTCTATATTTCATTCATGGTTGTGTATAATCATTCGCTTGCAGATGGGTTTGATACCATCGATGGTCAGATTGTACCACACACTCCATACGAGCATACCGGGACCAGCTTGGCAGATTGCTCGAGGGAGAGGTGAGTATTCATAATATCATAATGTTATACATATATAGTTTAGTTTGGATGTGTATATTACTAGTTGTTTATGCATGCAGTTTGTATGGTTGCCGTATCCGATTGTCGATACCCTACCACCCTATTGTTCTGCTGGAATCGGAATATGGACTTCTAGAATCCCCTTGATCTATACCTACGTTGTGGAGATGTACTATCCCGATCGCTTTTGCAGGCAGTTTGGTGCCCTGCAACACATCCCTGAAGTTGTTGTTTATGACCGTCAACTACACCAAATTAAGTCAAGTGTTATGCAAATTTGGGATGGTGGATGCCACACCGGAGTATCGTCAGTGGTACTACCTTCGGGGTCGACGACAGATAGGGAACCCTGCCCATCAGCACCGACCAGGGTACATCCCCATTTCTCCGGAGCTACAAACTGCAGTAAGTATTCTTAATGTACATATTTCTAAATTTAATTTTTTTTAAACTAATTAAAAATGTTGTATGTAGTTATACTGTATGGCGGATTGCAGTCAACGCCTTGATCCTGGTAGGCATCCAGATGGGTTTGTACCTTCACACGAGGTATTGAGAGTTCATGAGTTGTTAACAGAGTGTGTTCGTGCTCTTGGGCATGCATCTATCCTTGATCACCCACAGGATCAGCATGCTTACAACCCAGGACATATCAGGAGACGGGTAGATAGAAGGCGTGATGCACCTGCTGTCGGAGTCAGACGTGGAGGGCGGGGTAGTCGGAGGTTGCAGGTCGATGATGAAGACGAACACATCCCCATTGAATCTCCCCCTATGACCCAGGATGATGATGTTGCAGATGGTGACGAAGAACATATTCAGAGCGACACACATACACCTTCTTGCATGGTTGAGCCGTCGAGTTCACATCCTCATGAATTCCACATAGAGCATCCTCAGAGGCGCATTCACGATGTATCATCAGTGACGTTTGATGGAGATGTGTTTAGGGGTGATTACTTTACTCAAGAAAGTCAGGTCACAAATGAGTTTGGACATTTTGTCTCCACTATTACACCGCCGGTAATCCAGCAGACAGTTGATGACGTAGAAGTGGAGGGTGAAGGAGAGGAGGGTCTACGTCCACGACGTAATCGACGTCGTCCACGTTGGCTACTCCGTTTAAACATTTAATTAATTGGAACGGAGTTAGTTACTCCGTTTTGCTATTTAAATCATTGGAACGGAGTTGGCTACTCCGTTTCTTTATTTAAATCATTGGAACGGAGTTGGCTACTCCGTTTCTGGTGGATTCTGCAGATGAAACGGAGTCAGCTAATCCGCTTTGCTTTATTTGGGAAAGTATATACTAAAGTTGCATATAATGGAATACAAAACAACAAACTTACACATGCAGGGAAATCACCCAAATTCTCATCAGATGGGCCCTAATTGGTTACCTATTCATGGCTTTCAAGAGACTAGAAGCACTCCCCAATCTTGATAAAACTTTCAAAATACTCCATAATGTGATATTTTTGTTTGTGCATCAATCTTTAATGAGTAATGCTAGATTTACAAATAACTTGAATTCAATTGAGTTCATTGTCGTATTGTGAATATAAGAGTGTAAATGGTTAAATGCAATCACTAAGAAAATCATAAGTCTTACCATTTAAGTCTTCTAATAAATACAAATAAAATAAATTTCTTCAATAGGTATTGATTGTTAATTTGATTAATGTCAACTCCTTTTTCGTGGAAAGTGCGTCCATTTTCTACATTCTTTTCCCTTTTTTTTGGTTTGATAAAAGATGTCTTCAATGGGTATTGATTGCTTCTGGGATGTCAACTCCGAAAATGTCGTCTTCTTTTAATGTATCTTCTAGTGAGGGAGGAACAAAAAGAATGAGATCGAAAAGATTGATCAGAATAGATGAGAATTTAGTCAGAAAATTTGAGGTGAATCGACCCGTGGTGTCTTGTGAAAGATTAGATAAGAATAAGTTTTTAGTTATTTTAAGAATGTAGATCTAAAGGTTTTTTCTACAAAATAGAAAGTACCCAAGAGGTAATTTTAGAGAAGAAAATGATGACAAAATAATGACACAAATGAAGATGAGGGATGGATGGACCAAAAGTTTCTCGAAAATTAGTTTTCACACATTTTAAGGTACTTCAAAATATATTTTAAAAAAAACAATAAATATACCAAAGTAGAAGTAAAACATTGAAAATATACAAAAATATGATTTTCATGTTTTTATTTCCCAAATAGGATTTAAAATGTATTTACCTTATCAAACATGGTCATGTACATTACCAAAAGTATAGTAATGTGCACATATACATTACTTTATTACAACCACATTACCATAGTGCGACATGAAAGTTCTATTTTATGTGCAGAGTTTTTATCACATTATAGGGAAGGTTAACAATTTTTTGTCTTTCTTTATCCCCTTTCCCTTCCTTCCTAAACAAACGCGGGGAAAAAAAGAGTAGAGAACCGCCGCAACGATGCTCCGTGCTCGGACTGGTATTAGAATCAGAATCCGATCGAAATGGAAGTTCACATATGAGAGAGAGGTGCCGATTTTCCAGAGAATATGGGGAGTGTTCTGAGTAAGGCCGGCGACGGCATCGGAAATGCGTTGGCGGCTCCTTTCAAGGCCGTTCTACAAGGATCTTGCGAGTATCTATCCCTTTTTCCTTCTCCGGATAGAATTTCAATTTTATCACTATTATTATTGTTCGCAATTGAATCCGAGATTTTATGGTTTCTTATAGAAATTCTCCTGTTTGGGTTTTGGATTTTGCAGCGACGTGTGCGCCGGAGTATGGGATGTCCCGTGCTTCATCACTCATCTCTGCGTCTCTGATTTGATGAAGTTGTTCATCATTTTGATTCTGTGCTACATTAGTAATATAATACTCCCAGATAATCCCTCTTTTAATTTGTTGTTTCTGTTTAATCCTTCCCAATTTGGAGAAATTGTTTATGCCCTGGTCGTAATCGACTAATGTATCACCCCCTGTTCTCGTTTGCTAATGTCATGGGATAATTCGAGAGTTTTGACAGAGGGAGTTAGGGGGTAGGAATCGTCAATTTTACGAACGGAGTACTCTCGGGTCATCAATGATATTGCTTAGCAATGTTATGAGAACCGTCCCTAATACCTAGATTCAAATAACACAGTTTTTACTTATGAGAGTATTCACTAGTGATATGGTCTCTCTTTCTGTTTTAATGTTCCATTTGTCCATGTTTTTTCTTGTTCAGCTTTGTTGTTCTTCTACATGTTCTTCAAGTTGGGGATATGCCAATGCTTAGGGAGAACTATCTGCGGAGTGTATTGCTCAGCCTGTAAGGCTTACTGGTCTGCAATGGGGTGCATGGCGTGTTTCTTCTGGCATAAACTCACACAAGTCGAGCGTGTGAACAGGCGCCGCCACCACTTTGCCGACATTGAATCCGGCAACATTGACGGCTCTTTTGCCGCTAACGGTGGTGTCAGCATCTCTGAACGTTGCCCACATAGCCACCTCCGCCGCCGCCGCCACCATCACCGTCCTTATATGGGCGGAGGAGAAGCTGGGGTTCGGGTTCAAGGTAGGCGTCTTGGATCAACGAGGAGGAAGAAGAAGTTAAGACATCATCGTCATCATCATGGTGGGAGAAAGGACATTGTTGTTCTTGGCCCAAAGATGGCATCCTTCAAAAGAAGACGGATTGTTGCATAATAGGAGTGATGCCCATAACAATGTGTAATTTTACTAGGAATGAGAGTTGTTTAGTTTATTACAGAGTACAAAGGATATTAGGGGCCGTTGCATATTTTTTATGTCTTGTGTCACTCTTGGTTGACTAGTTTTTTTTTGTGCCTATTATTATACTGCTTTTCACTAATTTGTGTTACATTTTAGTCTCATGAGTCATGACAAAATACCAAAGTAATACCTAGGGAGTATTATGGAACTTAAGTACTTAAAATTCAACTTTATAGTGAAATGACATCAACTTTCAAATGAAATAGGCAAAACTCACCACAATATAACATAAAAATCACCATGGTTAATTCAAGTGATTCGTTAGAGCTCGAGACGCTCTAGTCGTTGACCGACCGGCCACACTGGATTGACCGTATATTTTTTTTACAATAACTTTTTTCCTTTTTTTTGAACTATTTTTTTTGAAAAAATACTCTATTTTTTAGTAGAAGTAAGATCTGCAAGTACAGACTTTCCCAAACCTTAAAGGTGAGGATTTAAGAATTTGATTTTTTTTGTGACCGACTAAAGAGAAAAAATTTTTTCTTTTTACAATCATGCTAGGAGTACACCAAAAGTTTACTCCAAGTTGTACCCAAAAAAATGTACCGACATTTTATTGATTTACACTGGTAGAAAATATTAGTTCAATTAAAAAAATTGCACTAATATTTTTGTCAATGTAGACCATCACACAAAATGACACTAATACAAAATATCGGTACATGTTTTTAGAGTATAAAATGGATACAAATTTTGGTATAGAAGTAGCTTAATCCTTCTTTTTATATTGTGGGGGATATTTTTTTATTATTATTATAAAGGAGGACCCTTTAAAGTTTAAACTACTTGAAGCCAAAGGCAATAAGCTTTCGGCGACACCATTTGCGCTTGTTTCTTCCCCGCTCTCACTACTCTGTGGAAACTAAAAGGAAGCAACTTTCTCTCTCTCTCTCTCTTCCTTATAGATAGCTGCTTACCGGCAGATACATATACCATATTTACTGCGCAATCGAACCTCACCGGTGGATGCTTTTGGGGAGCCAAGCCGCTTTGAGCCCGTCAATCCAGCAAGAAATTAATCGGTCCTCCGGTCGCCGGAATGTCTAACAACCCGTCGGACGGATCATCCGAAGACTTCTTCGAGCAAATGCTAGGGTTTCCAACATACGCCGCCGCAGCCGCCGACCCTAATTTGGCGGGAACGCCATCAGCGTCTCCGATGATGCTCCAGCTCGGCTCCGGGGACGGCTCCGCTCACCTCGGTGGTTTTAGGATCGGGATGGGGCTGGGAGGGATCGGGGCTCCTTTCCACGTAGGCGGTGCCGGCGGGCCGTTCCCGCTGGGGCTGAGTTTGGAGCAGGGGAGAGGGGAGTTTATGAAGATGAACGATGTTTCTGGTAATAGCTTGAAGATGGATTGCAGACCCTCGTCTTCTATGAAACCTGTAAGCGATGGATTTTGCCCTAGGAATTAATTGCACATATCGTTACATAGCTGGAATTTTATTTCGACTTGTTGAATTTGATGTCCTATTTCTTGACATGTTTGAGTGGCCTGCAACTAGGTCATGAGGTTTTAGAAATTCAGGCTTTGTTTGTTTTGGAAGAAATGGGAAGGAGAGAAGTTGAGATTAAGGATCATACCATCCTCTTATGATTCTCCCAATTTCTCTTCATATCTTCTTCATTTCTCTCCTACCAAAAAACACACAAAATCTTCCCTATTTTCTACTATTTCTTCCATAAATCAAACAAGAGTTTAGGAAAAAGATTGGGTTTTTATGGTTCAATGATGGTATCACATACACAAAGTTGGTGCGAGGAATATCCGTAGTATCACAGTTTTCGAATATATATATTTACAGGGATACCATGGCCAGCTGATGCCAAGTTCAGTTCCTGCTATGCCACATCCACCCACGGTTCGACCAAGGGTGCGGGCAAGGCGAGGCCAGGCAACTGATCCACACAGTATTGCTGAGAGAGTATGCCTCGTATTCATCTGATGATCTTTTGTTTCATGTAGTGCGTATGACCGGCGACTAGCCTGTTTAGTTACGAGTATTTGTTTATTTATTCACTTCGCTCGCAGTTACGCAGGGAAAGAATAGCAGAAAGAATTAGAGCATTGCAGGAGTTGGTTCCCAGTGTTAATAAGGTCAGCTCTCTCTATATTTTTGTAAAACCCTCCATAAGCTCCAGTTACACCATGAGAGTGTAGCACTTGGTTTGAAGCTTGTTCTTAGGCAATACTATTTGTTCTCGTTTCTGTATGCAGACTGATCGAGCAGTTATGCTCGATGAAATTGTGGAGTATGTGAAGTTCCTTAGACTTCAAGTCAAGGTATGCCGGCCTACATGGCTCGCTTTGAGATCTTTTCGTGTGATTGTTTGTGGCTTCTGAAGAGATTTTATGTTGTGCGCTCTCTATGTCTTGTCTATAAAGGCTTTTTGTGGGCTGATAATAGAAACCATCAATCATCTAGGACAATGAAGATTCATTCTGATCCTTAGAATAGAAGAGATGGCTGTAATTGCTAAATGATGTATCACTTAACTTTAAAATATGTTGTGCACTTATCTTTTGGATGGAATCTACTTTGCATTATCATGGGTCTGGTGGGGGGTAGGTACTACATTCCTCCATACCCAACCTGGACCGTTGGTGAAGTTACTTATTCGGATCCAACTGTTTTGGTTAATTTGTTGAGATGAGTGGATTTATTGAGTTATGTTCAAAGAAAAACATTCGGTGGCATAAATGGGATCCAACGGGGTATAAATAAGCCAAAAACTATTAATTTTACATGCGATTAACAAGTCGAACCGAGCCATAGTATAAACTTTTCTTTGTGTAATCAAATGTGTCCTACACTACAGGTGTTGAGCATGAGCAGATTGGGGGGAGCTGGTGCGGTAGCACCACTAGTTACGGACATGCCAATTTCATTGCTTGAGGTAAATAGCCCGCAAGAATGGGATACGCCTAATAATACTCTCCCACACACACATTTGATGGAACTTTTTCCTTACATATTCTTTGTAGGAAGAGGGTGGCGGCGAAGCAGGAAAAAGTCAACCTGCGTGGGAGAAATGGTCAAGCGATGGCACGGAACGACAGGTTGCGAAACTGATGGAAGAGAACGTTGGGGCAGCAATGCAGTTTCTTCAATCCAAGGCACTCTGTATCATGCCCATCTCCCTCGCGTCCGCCATCTACCACTCTCTGCCACCTGACACCAGCACCTTCTTGAAACCCGAAACGCACCCTCACTCGTAGAAAAACGACACTCCCAGAAAAAAGGGCCACCCACTTACACCTCTCACCCCATCTTCTTACAGACAACACATGTACTTATTCAGTGTCTCTGTAAGAATGTGTGAGGTGAGAGTTGGTGTCACATTTGGGCTGGTGACCCAAGGTTAATTATTCCTCCCAGAATGTCCATCCCCCCCCCCTTCATCCTTTCTTTGAACATTGTTAGAGTGGAAATCAGAGTCAGGGGGGGCCACAACCTTTGTTTTTTCACTTGAGTTTTATTTTGTTTTTATTAAAGACCCTGTTTGGTATGGTGTATTCCTGTGTTTTTAAAATAACCAAATTAAGATGTTGCTGGCCACACCATGGCAAATTGTCAAACGCACCTACTGTAGATTTGTAGGCTGCTGCACTATTTTATGTACTCCTCGGTCCCACCCAAAAAGTCTTTCCTGTTTCATTTTTTGTGCATCCCATAAAACACTTCTACCGACATTTAAAATGCCTAAAATTTACAACATTTCTTCTTTATTGTGGGTAGAAGTTATTTTGAAAGTTTTTTTTGCATTCAAGACGAGATATAAGTTTTTTATGGGATGCGCAAAAAATGAAACAGGAAAGACTTTTTGGGACGGAGGGAGCATATATTATCATGTTTTATTAGAATTAGAAAGAGAAAAGAAAAAGTGTAGTCTGTGGTGGGAGTGGGTCCGCCTTTTGCTTTACTGTTTTAAATTCATGTGGGTGAGGACTTGAGATTGATTAGTATGGTCCTCAAAATCCTTTATTTTCCGTGATCTTCTCATAAATTAGTATTCCTTTCGTTTATTCTCCCTATCTTTCTCACGCGGTAGCTTTCTTTGCCATTTAAGTTTTCAACATTTTTGACATAACACTCTCAATTATCATGCTTAAACTTTTTTTTTCTCAAATTTTTTCCTTTCTTTAATTATTGATTAGCTTGAAATTCTTGTCACGTACTATTTAATTATTCTACAAAAAATTTGAAAATTTATTTTTATCTGTATTTAAATGAATATAATTAAAACCAATTTTAGTACAAATGTTCATATAAATCATAATGGGGAATATATGGATGGAGAGGCGTGGATAAGAAGGGGGAAAGTGTGTTTTCTTTTGGCGAGGCGTGCGCGGTTGGTGCATGTACATAGTGCCCTTTGACCTTTTCCTAAATTACTCAAATAATAATAATAATAATAATAATAATAATAATAATAATTGCTGAAATAGAATCATTGGAGAGAGAACGACCGAACTAAAAGTCTTCCAAACACGACCTTGCCTCTCAAATTCCACTCTACCCAAATTTGATGTACGGAATAATAAATACCATCCACACAAAATAAATTCAATATTCAATTTAATTTTACAAAAATATAAAAGAGTTAAATATAAATGATTAAAATTTGTTTAGAAGAAATAATTATATTTTTAAATAACTAAAATCACGTTTGGAGTTATGATGTAATATTCAAAGAACTCAATTATCAGTTCAAAATTATCAATCATGTTTAATAGAATCACTTTTATACTCATTAACATTACAATTTTCTTTGAAAAAAAAACATTACAATTTTCCGTTAATTGAGATCTAAAATTTATCTTGGTTAACTCAAAAAGATTAAACTTAACTATTACACTATGATGAAGGTATATACTCCGTAGGAAGTAGTCGTAATGTCTTTAGCTATAATTCAAAATTAAATGTTAAAACATAAATAAATTATTTTAGTATAATTTGCGTAAATATTAAGTATTCCATCTATCTCAACATTGAAGTCTCAATACATTATTCATTTGTCAATCATTTTCCTCTTCTTTTGAACACGTTTTTGTCACAGTTAAATATGGCCACATCTAGTTTTACAAAGCATTTTATATAATTTAATTGCATGTATAAATTCTAATTTAAATATATGCCATTATTAAAATAAGTTAGATTAAAAATAAAAAATCAATCAAATCTTTTTATTTATAATGAAGTTTTATTGGGCCGCATCACAGTGTATATAAATTATAAAGACACATTGATGTGGGTACATTAGTTTGATAACTTTGATCCGGTCCAGTGCAAATTTATCGGGCTTGCTTTGGGCCAGTTAGAGTTCGATGACCGAAACATTATCTCTATCATGGGCCATTTGGGTATTGGTGATTGGAATACAATATATTCCTTCAAATCATATAGTAGTAATCTTTAAAACCTGGTATGGGTTTCGACTTCCGACCCAAACAACTTTACCATTTCCCGTTTCCTGCGTAAAAAAGTTCTCTTAAGTCTTTATATGTTAATAGAACAATTTGAGCCAATTTATTTCTTTAACTATGGAGGACTATCAACTATCCACGTTAAATTCAAAGATTTATTTTAAAATAAGGGATAAAGTAAAAGGTTTAATTTTCGAAATAGGAGTCATATTTAGTTATTTACTTATATAGGAGTGAACCAAGTAATATGAGTTGATATTTGCAAATCTTGCCCCCGTCATCCACTCTCTTCACCTCAAGAACCACTACTTCCTCCTGCCACACCATCACCATTTGCCACAGAGCCACCTCCATCGTCACACTGCCACATCCACCTCCAAGTTGTCAACTTCGTCGCACTGCCACCTCTGGCGCCACAATGTCATAATCACCACCACCGATGTCGTCACATTGCCATCCTCTGCAACCATACTACTATCATCTCCACCAATTCTTCCACCGCCTTACCTCTCTCGCAACCACACTTCTATCATCACCATCATTGTTGTCGTTATACTGCCTCCCTCTTCTGTCACACTACCAACTTTGCCGCCACATTTTCTTCCTCCATAGCCACACTATGAACATCAAACCACCACCACCACAACAAAATAGTTAGGTATCTCCGTCTCCACACCGCCAGCACACGCCATCTAAGGTACACTTTCATTTGTGGCTATCCAAACTTACTGCATTGTCATCAAATGACCATCGACAATCAACGTTACACTATCATATAAGGTCACAATTCTATCCAACACACGCCACACTGTCATATAAGAATTTAAAAGTACAGACATAATTGAAATCAGATCAAAATAAAAATAGAATTAAGAAACACTAATATAATCGGTAATCAACCAACAATAGATGAATAGTAGCCATCAGATCTAGCTAATACCCGTACGCCGATCGAACAACGCCAACAAAGATACAATGGAAAGTGGCGCTGCATTTTCCCTTGCTTGGACGAAAACAATAGTTGTGTGGTTGGGCTGCTTGATTGATGTTTGAGTTTTTTAGTCCATTTACATTTGAAATTTTTAAAAATTATACACATCAAAGCTTAGCTTTAAAAATTAAACCAATATTTTCTGAACTTCTTAAAATGTTGCACATATGGTTCTTCTATCTTAGATTTCAGAAAATGTTAATTAAACACTCTTCAATACACGTGTTGGAGCTCGATGAATTCGTTTACTAACGACTAAATATAAATAATTGTTGAGTGTTACTTCAAAGTCCCACATCGGTGGGATAGGAAAATTGAGAAAGGATTGGAGCCTATAAATAAAGAGGGGATATAGGCTAACAATTGGTATCAGAGCCAAGGTGCAGAGCTCGGGTGATCTGGTAATTATAATTCTTAGTATGCTCTGTGGTTGCAGCTTTTGACTGATCTTCCACATCAGAAAAGAATTATTAATTACAGAGTTCCAGTCTAGGGAGGAAGGAGATAGAGTAAGGAGCAAGAGGAGGGCGTGCCACTTCAACGGAGGAGGTGGTGGTCCAGTCAGCAGAGGTGGGTCCGTGAGTGCCACGTCAGCAGTCTGTGGGTCCGAGTGTCACGTCATCATCCAGTCAGCGCCACATTAGTAGGTCCAGTCATCGTGTGGGTCCCGCTGGTGACTTTCAGAGAGAAGTTGGTTCTGACTAATTTTGACGTCCTGATTCCATTTTTGAGGCCAGTTTCCTCAAATTTGGATTGTTTGGTATTGGTTGATTGCTGCTTGAGTGGAACTATGACTACCTTGAAGTTTGAAGTTCCGTTATTTGATGGAAGAGCGGACTTCATGTTGTGGCAATGCATGATTCAAGACTATTTGGTCCAGCAAGGTCTTGATTTAGCATTGCAAGATGAGAAGCCAAGTGATATGAAAGAATCAGAGTGGAGTACAATCCAGAAGAAGGCTGTCAGCACAATTCGGTTGGCACTGTCCCCACAGATTAAAGTGACAGTGTTGAAAGAGACGTCACCAAAGAAGCTGTGGGAAACGTTGGAGAGCAAGTTTGCGTCGAAGACACTTACTAACCGGTTGATGATGAGGATGGACTTGTACTCACTGAAGATGGAAGAGGGAGGTAGCGTAATTGATCACATCAACAAGTTTAATGAGCAAGTATCAAGGCTGTTAAATGCAGGGGAGACTATCAAGGATGAAGAGCAAGGGCTGCTTCTACTGGCTTCACTACCAAAATCCTTTAAGCCGTTTGTGCAGTCAATGATAGCAGGAAGGACTACACTGCGACTAGATGAGGTGACGACTGNAAAGAATCAGAGTGGAGTACAATCCAGAAGAAGGCTGTCAGCACAATTCGGTTGGCACTGTCCCCACAGATTAAAGTGACAGTGCTGAAAGAGACATCACCAAAGAAGCTGTGGGAAACGTTGGAGAGCAAGTTTGCGTCGAAGACACTTACTAACCGGTTGATGATGAGGATGGACTTGTACTCACTGAAGATGGAAGAGGGAGGTAGCGTAATTGATCACATCAACAAGTTTAATGAGCAAGTATCAAGGCTGTTAAATGCAGGGGAGACTATCAAGGATGAAGAGCAATGGCTTCTTCTACTGGCTTCACTACCAAAATCCTTGAAGCCGTTTGTGCAGTCAATGATAGCAGAAAGGACTACACTGCGACTAGATGAGGTGATGACTGCCTTGAAGGAGAGTCAAAGGATGATAGGAGGTGAAGAGTCTTCAGGGGACAGTCATTTACTAGCTGCTGTGAGTGTTGAGAAAGGGAGGAAGAAGAAGAGTGACCAACTTGGGAGAAGATCTCAGCTGAGAGACATGAGCACTGTTAGGTGCTATTACTGTGAAAAGTTGGGTCACACGAAGAACGGTTGTCCAGAAGTCAAGGAGGACTTGCAAATCCTAAAGGAGAAGAAGGGCAAATCGAAGGAAGCTTCTTTCGCAAATGTGATCACTTATGAAGATGATCTCCTCTGAAGATAAGAGTACTGCTGGACAGAAGATTCTGCAGAATGGGAATATCGCTGCAAAAATCGCAAATGATGTAGGACTTTGAATTAAGGGGAGATTTGTTGAGTGTTACTTCAAAGTCCCACATCGGTGGGATAGGAAAATTGAGGAGGGATTGGAGCCTATAAATAAAGAGGGGATGTAGGCTTCCATCACACAACACAATCCTTCAATCTATATAATTGTGTATTAGATTTTAGGTTGTGAGTGTCAAATATTGAAGAGGTGAGATTTTTTCTTAGAGGGGGTCGTGGAGTAGGTCTTGAGGTGCCGAACCACGTTAAAAATTGTGTGCTCCTTTTTTTCTTTTTCTTTCCATTTGTTTGGAGTGGGGGCCTAACAATAATTATCTAGAATTTAAAAAAATGTTAAAAATATAAAAGATAATATTTGAAAAGGACATATGGAGAAACTCACGTGTGATATATGGCTTTAGATTAATTTATACTTACATTGAATTAGTGTGTCAATTGCACTCTCAAATCTACACAGATGGGTCATTGGCGTAACATTTTTAAAAGTTCAGGAGACAAGCGTGCATTTTTAATTTTCATTGTAAATTCGTGCAATTTTTAAAACATTCAGAACAGTTTTTACTAATGTTGTGTTTGATTTGGGTTTTAACCCAAACTCAACATCATGTTTTCAAACTTGAACTTCTTTTTTGGCGTTTTGCCACATTATTGAATTGTGTTATTGTCATTCTAAGGTCACATGTAAAATATGGACTTTATCAAATAATTTATATAGACTTATAGTTGGATCTCTTTATTTCTACAAGCCTCATTACATAAAATTATTTTACGTGTAATATCCATAAAAGGAACATAAACCTAAGGGCTGCAAAAGAATTTGCCCACATTATTCTTGTAAAATAAAATATCTAGTAATTTGAGTCAAAGAAAAAGAATAAAATGTAAAAGTTAATTAAAAACTACTATTTATGAAAGAAAATTAAAAGATTGTAAAATTAAGAATTAAATTAAAACTAAGCTTAAAAAAATTAAAACTAAGCTAAACAACTCAAAACTAAAAATATTAGAAATTCCTAAAAGTAAAGAAAAAATACCAATTCAAAATGGACTTATCAAAAAGCAAACATTATAATTGTAATAAAGTTATTACTTCTTAAAAAATTTATATTTTATTTTTTGTCGAAGAAAGAACTAAATGAGTCCCAATCATTCTCTTCATTTTGAATTGATTATAGTTGTACCGGAGTAAAAAATTAGTTTTAAAAATATTTAAACCCCGTGAAAATTAAATAAAAGCACTTTGGCATGACAAAAAAGTATACTCTTTCTATCTGAGTGTGTTTATCCACTTTGACATTTTTCGTCAGAAATTCGATATTTTTTATCATCAATTAAATCCATACTTTATTTAAAAAGACATAGATCCAAGAAATGGTTTTCCCGCCCATGCGTTATTGCATTAAAAATGACAATTGTTCACTTAAAATGGTAATGACTCAATTACATTAAATAATTTAATTAAATATTAAATAATCCATATCCATACTTTATTTAAAAAGCCATGGATTCATGAGATGGTTATTGCAATAAAAATGGTAGTTGTTCACTTAAAATGGTAATGACTCAATTATAATTAATAATTAAATTAAATAATTACATTTACACGACCAACACCTAATTATGGCAATTGATGTCAATTAAATTAAATAATTACATTTACACGACCAACACCTAATTATGGCAATTGATGGAAATTAATGTTACACAATTAGACAATAATAATAATACTAACATGATTAATTTAAATTGGAAATGATTAAAAAGGTAATTAATTAAAATTGGTAATTAATGAGAAATCTACTTACCTTTATTGTAAACTTACTTTTATTACTTTTATAGGTAAGTAATTAAAATTGGTAATTAACGATAAATCTACATACTTTTATTGTAAACTTACTTTTGTTACTTTTATTTTAAACTTACTATTTTTCGGTTAACAAAACGGTAATTGATCATTACCCATTAATAAGGTAAGTGGATTGGTTAAAATAAAGGTTAACAATACCGGAATTAATTACTATGCGGTTAAACAATAATGATTAATAATAATAAATAATTAGTCAAAAAATTCGATATTAACACAGTTCCTTTTTTAATAATAATAATAATATTTTTCGGTTAACAAAACGGTAATTGATTATTACCCATTAATAAGGTAAGTAGATTGGTTAAAATAAAGGTTAACAATACCGGAATTAATTACTACGCGGTTAAACAATAATGATTAATAATAATAAATATTTAGTCAAAAAATTCGGTATTAACACAGTTCCTTTTTTAATAATAATAATTATGAAAACTATCCGAACACGATTGAAAAAAATAATAATACTAACGTGATTAAATTAAAATGGAAATGATTAAAAGGCAAGTAATTTAAATTGGTAATTAATTATTAATCTACTTACCTTTATTGTAAACTTACTTATATTACTTTTATTTTAAACTTACTATTTTTTGATTAACAAAACGATAATTGATTATTACCAATTAATAAGGTAAGTATATTGGTTAAAATAAATGATAACAATATCGGAATTAATTATTACACGGTTAAACAATAATACTAAATAATTAGATAAAAAAATCGGCATTAATACAATATTTTTTTAATAATAATAATTCCTTTTTTAATAATAATAATAATAATAATAATGAAAAACTTATCAAACGTGATTATAAAGAAATCCATACTTTATTTAAAAAGTCATGGATTCATGAGATGGTTTTCCCGCCCATTTGTTATTGCAATAAAAAATGGCAATTGTTCACTTAAAATGGTAATGACTCAATTATAATAAATAATTAAATTAGATAATAACGTAAAAATAGCCTCCGCCAACCTAACTATGGTAGTTGCTGGCAATTAATATTACACGATTAAACAATAATAAATAATTAGGTAAATAATTCTGTATTAATACAATTTCTTTTTTAATATTTAATAATAATAATAATGGCCTCCGCCAACCTAATTATGGCAATTGATGACAATTAATATTATATGGTTAAACAATAATAAATAATTAGGCAAATAATTAGGTATTAAGTGATGGTTTCAAGAGATGGTTTTCCCGCCCATTTGTTATTGCATTAAAAAATGACAATTATTCACCTAAAATGGTAACGACTCAATAATTACATTAAATAATTAAATATTAAATTAAATTAAATAATTACGTTAAAATAGCCTCCGCCAACCTAATTATGTCAATTAATGGCAATTAATAATTCACGGTACTAAACAATAAAGTATGGATTTGGAAATAATTAAAAAGGAAATGGTAAGTTGATATTACACGGTATTTCTTTTTTTGACAATTAATATTCCTCGCAATTTCTTTTTTTTTTGAAAAGTTAAATTACGTTAAAATGGCCTCCACCAACCTAATTATGGTAATTAATAATACACAGTACTAAATTGCATTAAATGTAAAAATGGTAATGACTCAATTACATTAAAATTAAAAACTTACGTAATAACATAATAATAATACTAACGTCATTAATTTAAATTGGAAATAATTAAAAATGAAAGTTAAATAATTTTAATAATTTAGACAATATTCCCAGAAATTATACAAATAATGTACTCCCTCCGTCCTAGAAAACATGAGAGTTTTGATTTTGAAGAGAGATTTAATAGGAGTGTATTTTGGTATTGAATTTCCAAAAATGTCCTTTGATGTGATGTGTAAAAGTATGATTTGATGGATAGATTATTAGTAAAAAGGTATGATGTTGTTGAAATATTGGAATATTAATATTGCTCCTTGAATTATTAAGCACATGATAGAGTATATATAGGAGAGATTCCTAACACAACTAGGAATAGAGAATGGAAACTAACTAACATACAACATCTACTACAAATAGGATTAGGAAGCTGACTAATAATGAAACACTACCATAACTAATACTACCAGAAGTAATATTAGTTTATTGTCTAACATCCCCCCTCAAGCTGAACTCTGGCTGAAGCAAGAGAAAGCTTGGACATTAGCTGGAAACTGGAAACTTTGAGAAGAGAGAAGTTTGACATGCGCCGGTGGCTGCTCACGTCGTTGGAGAAGAGAGAAGTGTGACGCGCGCCGGTGGCTGCTGACGTCCTTGGAGAACAGAGAAGTCTGAAACGCGTCGGTGGCTGCTGAGGTCGTTGGAGAAGAGAGAAGTCTGACGTGCACTGGTAGCTCCTAACGTCGTTGGAGAAGAGAGAAATTGACGTGCGCTAGTAGCTGCTGACGTCGATGAAGAAGAGAAAAGGTTGGCGTGCGCTTGTAGCTGCTGACGTCGAAAAAGAATAGAGAAGGCTACTGGAGGTGCCTGTTTGACTGAAGATCGTTGACATTTTTGTGAGGAGTTGGGTTTTTTTTGAAGAACTATGGAGATAACAAGAGAGAAGTTCCTCCTTTGATAGTTTTTTTGTGTGATTTCAACATGGGTTTTTTTTCTTTTTTTTCATTTGAATGGAGAAGTTGATTTGAGGATAGAGAAGAAAAAGAAAATAGAGGTGAATAGGGTGGAGCCGCCGTCGCCGGAATTACCGGCGGCGGCGGTGGGAGCAAAAAACTTTTTTTTTAATGTCACCAAAGCGGTGGCTCCGATACCATGTCGAAATATTGGAATATTAATATTGCTCCTCCAATTATGGAATACATGATAGAGTATATATAGGAGAGATTCCTAACACAATTAGGAATAGAGAATGGAAACTAACTAACATACAACATCTACTACAAATAGGATTAGAAAGCTAACTAATAATGAAACACTACCATAACCAATACTACCAGAAGTAATATTAGTTGTATTATCTAATATCCCCCCTCAAGCTGAACTCTGACTGAAGCAAGAGAAAGCTTGGATACTAGCTGGAAACTGGAAACTTTGAGAAGAGAGAAGTTTGACATGCGCCGGTGGCTGCTCACACCGTTGGAGAAGAGACAAGTCTGACGTGCGCCGGTGGCTGCTGACGTCGTTGGAGAAGAGAGAAGTATGACGTGCACTGGTAGCTGCTAACGTCGTTGGAGAAGAGAGAAATTGACGTGCGTTTGTAGGTGCTGACGTCGATGAAGAAGAAAGAAGATTGACGTGGGTTGGTAGCTGCTGGCG